CCCATCGAAAACCTCTGGGCCATACTTGACCGGCAAGTCAAGACACAACAGAAAAAAAAACAACTTCAAAGAGCAATGTACTCCAAGTTTTGAAGCAAGAGTGGGCGAAAATCCCACATTCTAAAATTGACGAGATGATTCTCACGATGCCCCAAAGGATCAACGAACTCCATGAAGTGAAAGGAAGATCTACTAGATATTAATTGAATTATAAATATATCAATTCATATGAATATGATTGACAAATTTCATTTTTTCTGAACAGGTGGTGTCTATTTACTTGTGACCATGCTGTGTATATATATATATATACATCGACTGAACCACTTCATTATGTTCATCTACATTTCACTTTAATAGTAACTTGACTCAGTGTGGCATAGATACCAAAAGATGTCTTTGTATATTTTATCTCATTTGTCAAGGAGTAATGGGTTTATTTCCCTTAATGTTGGCACAGAATTATGGTGGGGAATATGTTGTTCAAAATTACTTCCTAAGATGCTCAGTCAGATCTGATGGATATGTTGGTTAGAGAAATGGCAAAAGTCACTGTGACATTTCAGACCCTGTCACATGGCATGTACTAGTCATCCATTGTCCACTGTTTGCATTTTTTTCATCACTAAAGCTCTTTTTATGTTTGTACCTGAGTTAAATGATTTATAATTTTTGAATGAGTTGTTTGCTACCATGTGACAGTTTTTGTAATGTCTTTCAAATGGTAGGGTTGGAGATAGTCAAATTCTGAAAAGTTTTTCAAAAATAATGTCTGTTGGAGAACACTGTTATGTTTTACATTTCAAGCCTGTTAAATAATTTCTTCCTCTTGACTGATATCAGCAGTTAGCAGACACAGTTTTTATGTAGAGAACATAATCCCATTCAGTTTTTATTGTTCTTAGACCTTGATGATAAATGTTTTTGAACCTTTAGTCAAGTTAAAAAACAAATTTACAAGGCTAAAATTGGACAAAGCACTGATAACCTATTATGTAGCTTTGCACTTAACAACAAACAAACATAATACCAATATTTTGATTACTTGGATAGGTTTTAATAATCAAAAATAGTAATAATCAGAAACCCTAATTTCAGCTAGTTGATTATTTTCATGACAATCAATTTAATCATAATTTCAATTAATCAGTTATTACAATGGTTGAAAACAGTAACAATAAAAAGCACTAATTTTCATTTGCTAATTATTTTCATGACAATCTATATAATTGTAATTTTGATTAATTGATTGTTGGAATAATCAAATGAGTAATAATCAAAAATACCAATTTTGATTAATCAATTAGTTTGTGTGATACTAATTGATGTAATTGATACTCATAGGTAATTGATTAAATCACTAAGCTCTAGTGACTGGTCATTCTCATTCAATTTTAATGGATGTTATAACCTCAAGGCATCACATGACCTACCATTAGAGGATACTGCTGTTAATATTCTTGTATAATGTCCAACATTACAGCCATATGCACCATACACCAGTTTCTTGTAGAAAATAACAAAAACAAAGGCACCTAGAATGGAATCAACTTTCTTGACCACATGTTATGTGAAGCTGCACATACCAGAATAACTGACAAAGTTCAAGTAATGCTGTATTCAAATCACAAGGAAGAAATTGTTTGTATGAAAAGGACTAAAGTAGCAGGATAGTTATCTCTGTTTATTTTATAGACTTTTCATACATATGGTAATATTTTCATGAAAATAGCCAGTAGAGCCCAAAAATTATGAAATAGATTAAGCCATGATAGAGAAAATGTTTTGAAATTAATTCTTCTAAAGAATATAGTGTATTGGCTTTTTCTTTGAATATTGTTTGTTTGTTTCAGAAGTTTGTGCGAAACTATTCAAGGGTTATCTGCACGTAGCATACCAGATTTTGAACTTATAACCTAGAGAGGAAGGCAGCTTGTAAACAGTACCCACTGCTAACTCATAGGCTACTCTTTTCCAACTAAATAGTGAGATTTGACCATTACTCTTCGAGTGCATACATCCACAACCCCATAGAATGGAGTGAAGTTTTTGTGGTATCAGGCTATGAAACACGAACCATCATATTCACAATTTCATAGTCCAGACACACTAACCACTAAGCCATACATGGCCCCCCTTATTGAAATTAGAGAATGAAAGACAGTAAGTAAAGCAAAAAAAGTTGAATAGACCTTATACATTTTTTTATATTAGTAACATAGGTAAATTTGTTAGTCTGAAAATGGCTGTAAGAGAAAAATTGAAAGCTTGCTTTATAAATGTTGTATGTAGATATCAAACCCTAATTGTGTTACATTTATCAACCTTCTAAAATGTTATAAAAGTCATTGTTCAAAACCTCCTTTTGCATTTTTTTTTATTAGGAATGGAAGAATACATATTACAGAGCCACCACTGCCTTACAGTATAGGGAAAGAAAAGTGGAAGATGCTGCCCAGCTGATTGAGACAGTAAGAATTGGTAGTTTTATTCCAAATTTCATACCTCACTGATAAGAACAATGGAAGTATTTGGTTCTGTGCATGCAGATCAAAGGTGGGAGTTAATGGACACAACTTTTCCACTCTCTGAACATAATAGGTTCCATAATCATCATTTGATATATGCCATTGAAGGTTATCACAGTGACACCTAATATGCTTTATTAATCAATATGACATACACAGAAACTACTATGAAACTAGGGGTGAGACAAATATTCAAACAGCTTTTGAGTGTAGGAACTCAAGTCAGCTGTCAGCATGACAAAATAACAGTGATCACAAACTGTTATAATAAATCAGAGAGATTTTTAATCAGTATTCTGGATGGTATTTTTCCATGTAAAATGAATTAAATATTATCTGTTTTTGTGTCAACAGTTTCCATTTTATTCTCTAAATACCAGTATTGTCTTATTATCTAGGCATTTTAATTACTATATTTTTGTTCAGCAGTGTACATTAGTGAATCGAACTTCCACATATCCAGTGATATTGCTGGGCATTATAGTTTGTGTAATTATATTAAATAAATGTATATTTAAAATTTTTATCTTGTTATCTTGTAATAAGTGTTACAGGTCAAATTATAATTATTTTGTAAAAGCATGATTGTTATGCTTTAAGTGGCATTTTATTACATAGAAATAGTTCTCTAAAAGTTATTTTTATAATACAAATATTTTATTCAACAAGTGTTCAAGTAAATACTGTAGATTGTGTTAGAATGTAGTGCAACTTTATTTTAAATAATATGCCATCTTTGTTATTAATGTGTGTATTTATAGGTCTGCTGGGCATATGTTAATTAACAAACATAACAGAGTTTACCTATATTAGTTGTCATTTTATTTATAAGATGTGATTTAAGGCATACATTTAATATTGTTAACAGGTCACATAATGTTTATCATACCCATCTTTTATCATGACCAGATAAATGCTGGTTTTAAGATGCATCTTTTTATCAGATTGCCTGTTTCTTGATTAGTAAATGTTTTTTAATATTAAGTTCCATTAGTTGAACTTAATAACTAAAACATTCTCATATGTACTGATAATACCAGAGTTGAAATTAAGTTTGTATTTTATAAGTAGTTGTGAACTTTATAATACATAAGTATTACTGTGGTTAGATTTTAAAGCCTCTTCATATTTTGTAATTAATTTTGAACAGTAACTCAAATTACAGGAAAAACTTATGTATGAAATATCAATATACTTCAATGTATTTTGTCTATTTTAATGAATGTGTCCAATAAGTATTTCATCTGAAACTATTTGTAGTATGCTCTAATGTTTATGAATATACTTAATTATAACTTTTCTGTTATTTATGGTATCCTAGAACTTGCAACTCTTAGGAGCAACAGCTATAGAAGATAAATTGCAGGAGGTAGGAATACTTTATATTTTTAAGCTACATTTGAAGTTAATTTAATTCTCTCAACTCGGGTTCGGTTGATTTGACTGACTACGTGACCTCTTTTTACTCGTTTAAAGCCTTTTTAGTTTTGAAACTACTAACTTTTAATATAGTATGTATATCTTCACAAAATCTTGCAAACTTTCAATACACATTATAAGTCATTCACATACAAAAAGTGATATTTTTTAGTGAAGTATTTGTAAGAAACTAAAAAAATATTTGTCTGTGAATATATTGAATATTTTTTTTTACTAGTCCACATGCAAATTTTCATGTTAAGATTAAAAATACTTTTCTTCATCTCAAAAATATCAAATTTCATTTGCACAATCTCTAACACCTAAATACATTTCAAATGTTTGTTTTCAGTAAAATTTTATATTTTATCGGCTATTTTCTCTAACCTAACTTTATAAAAGGTTGGTCAATTTGAATGATCTCATAACCACCATCAAAAAATCTAAATATATGTAAATTGTCCTTTTGTTTCTTTCTAGAATGACTTCAATTTGTAACATGAAATAACATTCGTTTATCCTAAGTATCTTTAAATTCATAACAATATACATCTATTTATACTTATATTTTATAGTGTTTTTGCCATTTGATTGCCCTTTGAACTATGTCTAACTATTATTTGTGCCATTATAAGTTGTAAATCACTTGTGGGGAATGTGGAGCTCACGTTACTCTATCGAATTACATTACCCACGAGCTGTTCACATGCGTGCCTCGTGAAACATTTTAATTATATTATTATTATTATTTATTTTACCTAATCTAATCTAAAGAGATTCCTATTTTTACACTTGAGTTACTTTTACAATAATAACTAATGAATAAACATGAAAAACAGGAAATAAAGTACTTACCCGGTCTTATTTTTTTCTGCTGTTGACTGTTGATGACACTTAACCCTACTTTTTTATACTAATGGTAGTAATGCACTAAATAATTTTTAT